TCCTGATGTTTATTACGTCGATCTAGCTAGATGGTTTTCATTGGGAAAATGTGATATTTCTGTAAGAGACAGAAATTTATAAACATGTGGAATCCTTGTGACAATTCACGTCAATCTAGCTAGATGGTTTTCATAAGGAAAATCTGAAATTCATGTGTGAGACACATATGGGTATAGATTTGGAATCCTCATGACCATCTACGTCGATTTAGCCAGATGGTTATTTTCATTTTTATGTTCTGGTTCCCACGAAAAGGGATATCCTGTAATGTTCGGAGAACATCGTGAGAACCAAGGAAAATGAGATAGGAATTGGTGTTCATCTTAGATTTCTGGAGGTTATATGCCTCGGGGAACACCTCCCTTGGCAAATTGTTCCAGAACCTTGCTGTTCTTTGGATGAACGAGTCTTTGGAAAGAGATGTTATGCAAAGCTCCAAAGTGACGCACGAAGGGGTGAGAAGCCTCAACTCGACGGGTTAATCTCGCGGGGACTGCCAAGGGAGGAACAATTGTTGTTGTTATAGATTTGGAATCCTCGTGATGTTTAACTTCGATGTAGGTAGATGGTGTTCATTGAGAAAATCAGAAATTTCCGTGAAAGACACAAACATGTATAGATTTGGAATCCTCATGATGTTGTAAGTGGATCTAGCTATATGGTTTCAATTGAGAAATCCAGATATTTCTGTGAGAGACACAAATGGGTATAGATATTCATGGAATCTTCCTGATATGTTGAGTCGATCTAGCGATGGTTCTCATTGGGGAATTCAGGAATATTCACACACAGGCATTTTTTCTAGCAGAGGTAGGGAGTTGAACGAGAAACATAAACCAACCAAGTTTTCATGAAGAAGAAAATCCTGGAGCAGCTAGCAAAACTGACATTGATAATAATAACTTTAGACATTCGAGCAAACTATACTCCTCTTTAAGCTTTACTTTTTGTTCCAGCATCTTTCCATAGCCATAGAGCCTAACCATAACTCCCAACTCAATCCAAGTTCGAGACAAACGTATGTATGTATAGGCCTAAACCATGCAACGAATGAAAAATCCAGGCAGATTCTAGAATGGAGTAGGAGTAACCTGAGAATTCTGACAGGACTGCTTACGGGGCACTTTTATCTAAGACACCACCATAGGAGGATGGGTCTAAACCAAGAAGCGGACTGTCTGCTGTGTTGAAGTCGAAACAGCTGAACACATACCATGTTCATGATGCTCTTGTCAAGGGAGATTGAGGTCTGACATATTTGGCTCTACCAATTTAGAACCTATCGATTTCAGACAAATCTCACATCATTCAACCATGATGGACTCTGCAAGAAGAAGTAAACTGTAACCTCTAAGGGTGAGCCACAATAGACTAGGGCTTCGCGAGACCAAGAGTCCAGTTTTGGTTTTGTCATGGTGATGATACGAGACCAAGACTCGATAAATCTTCTCAAGACCAAGACCAAGACTTGACTTTCGAGACTCATTATTAAGAAAAATCTGATGGAAAATGTAAAGGCAATTTATTTCAGTTATTCATTTGTCATATGGTAGGTTTTTAATTTTTGTTCACTCAGAATCCGAAATACATTTTTCAAATTCAGTTTTGCAGTTTTAAAGTTCACAACAAATAGGTGTATGTTGTAAGGTCACAGTGGTCCATACCTCCTCCTAATGAAGATAGAAATTTCATACAAAAGCCATTTGGTTTGAATTTGAAATTTTTTGAAATATTTTGATGATGCGTTTGTTGTCACTTCCGACCCTTTTGATCCTTTTTTTCTGGCCTGTCGGACGTCGAAACACATATGCATATAAACTATTCGATATTTGAATTGAATAATTCAAATTTCTAGACGCATTTTGATTCAAGACGAGACTATCAAGACCAATACCAATACGAAGACTACTTTTATGTTTCGAGACCAATGGTCTTGGTTTCGCGAAGCCCTACAATAGACCCATCTGGGATCGCAGTGGAGGGTTGGTATTCGCCTACTCACATCCCTGATAACACCCGTTATCCAGAGGACATCCATTTCATATCCATTTGAAGTCCAAGACATCCATGAACGCCAAATGGAACTATATCGTAATGTACATCGTTGTATATCCCGCTGATGATCTAGTGTGTGTACTCCATCTGAAAGCCTATTTATGTCCATGGACGCACATCAAATTGCCACTTGGATGTCCATACCGGATACTTGGCAGTACATATTGGACATCCATATGTATATGTATCCATATATAAGAAGCAAATCAGAATTCATCTTTCAGAATTGGAAATGTAATATACGTTATGTTTATTTCATTCATATGTTTTGGTGGACTTTTATGATAATTTCCAGTTTTCTATAGTTGAATTATGCCTCAGTTTCCAGCTTCATACGGCCTTTACGGCACAAATAAGTTCTTATTATTTCTGTGTCTATCCAGGTGTCCCTAATTGCAAATTGTTACTATAACATAACATATTTATTGGATAGGTAGGTAAAACACCCTTCACCATAATGAACAGAAGAAAAAGGATTTGAAACAGGTTCTTCTGACGTATCTACTAGATTGTAGATTGTAGATGGGTCGTATAGGCTGGGAGACCTCTCGATCACTGCGACCTAGAGGTATTGTGATTACCCCTATCTAGTTTTGGTCCTCTAATCCTAGACTTCTGATGAAGCCTACGATTTTCCTGACGGTTGACTTTTCCACTTCAGAAGGGGTGAGATAGACCCGTTCTAGGTGGTTCAGCCTTTGGCGGACTAATACTTCACATGAACATAAAGAATAATCAAATTACTCCATGATAGCGCCAAATCGATATCATCTGACCAACAAATTTTCAAGTCCACCACATTAAAAATGTTCTCCAACTCAATTCCTATCCAAAGAATTTTGTCGATAAGACGATTTATCAAATTGAAAACAGACAGAGTCAACCACAACAACATCAACCATCAATAATGACAAATATTCCCCGCATATCTGAAAAAATTAAACGTGTTGTTGATGAATTTCAAGTGAAAACTGTGTTCAAAACTGAGATTACAATGAGATTAATTCTAACTCAAACAAAGCCGAAAAATGAAGAACAATCGGCAAAAAGTTGTTTTTACAGTATACCTTTGTGTTTGTGGAAAGTTTTATACAGGTGAAACCAAGAGAACTCTTTCAGTATCAGTAAGGACGAAGGAACATAATTACAATAAAAAGAAAAGACATACATCTATGAATCTAAACTAGCTGAACATATCCTTACTGAAGACGGAAAACATATGGCAGAGTGGAATAATATTAACATCATTGGAAAAGAAGATAACAACCAGAAGAGAAAAATCAAGGAATCTGCTTGCATTCTTCCGAACGGAGACAATAGCATTGCTTATTGTTCAGTTGATATAGACAGAACATGGTATTCACTACTAAAATCTGAACATGAAAATGGTAAATTCAAGATTAATCAATAAAAACATCCTGTAACTCATTTGATTGCCAACGTCACCAATTGTCATTGAAAACTGAAAAGCTTCAAGACATATTATACGACTTCGCTATTGAAAACGGGAGCAGAATCGGTCCCGAAACGTCCAAAAATAAGTGAAAATTTGATTTTGTTTCTATATACCTTTATTTCTCTTCTCCAAACTTTTTTCAATTCAAATTGTCACTGACAAGCTAGAGTATTTTTCTTTTAGGCTCTTTGATAGGAAAATTCTTCAAACGCAGTGATATTTTGGGGCAAATCGTCTAATTTTTCCTTACTACACGTATTTATTGAAATAATATTCATATTTTTATTTTATACAAACGGGGAGAAAAAATCCCAAAAAATTTGGAATTATGATTACCATTTATTTGCATGAACTGCTTTTGAAAGTTGTTATTGTTTAGGTAAGAAATACATCATGTCATGATTTTAATTTCCTGTTATAGTCATCTGGAAAAAAATTGGAGTCACTTCGAGATTAGTGTTGCACATATGCAACAACATGCTGGTATTGGAGACTCATTGGGCGCTCATGAACCATAAGAGATACAGAGTCGGTTGATCGATGGAAAAGTTGCGAAATTTCATATCAATCATAATACCGTTTTGAAATTTAGAAAATTCTGAATACTTCCAGGAATAAAAGAAAAAATGAAATTTGAAACAAAAATCGATACGAATGACACTTTTTCGATGTCACTTTTTCTTTCCTACAAGTTAGTGTTTTCGAATTTGAAACCCGACGTTTCGTCTTCCAGAAAACATTATCGACTCATCAATGATTATAGATCCTTCATCAAATATTTCGTTCACAAAAATTTACCGTTTCTTATTGAACACTATCAATTATAGATTTTTCAATCATATTGACCATGCATGATGTTGCACATGTGCAACAATCAGTAATGTTTGAGAAAAAAAATAAAGTTCGATTTTTTTCGATGATTTGTGGAATAGAAATGCTCTTCAGAGAAATTTTTTCGACAAAATCAAAAAGTCATGCATTGTAGGGTTGAGCAGGAACTATCTATTTTTTTATCTTATCATATATACTTTAGGTTTCACCCATGAGCTGTGTTTGAAATAATAAAAAATAACCTAACCTGTCTTTTGAATACGTAGGTATAGGTTGGTATGGATGTCCCTAATGGACACCAAATGGATGTCCATCATGATGGATAACGCATGTATGTCCTAAAATGTGGAAAGCTGATATCCATAGGATGTCCTCTGTACACAAAGTGGATATTCTATGGATGTCCAGGATGTCTGTTTGAGGATATCCATTTGATGTCCAATGGATGGAGGTGTGTTATTACGGATGGAACCTAACTTTCACCGGTTCGAGATGCAACTGCCGTATATCGAGTTGCCTACCTTGCAGTACTGTGGTAGCCTGTTGCGGTATAGCCGATACGCGTCTACCCAGCGCACCTTCAAGAATACCATCGCCTTCATGGCGAACCAGCTCTTATGTGCTAGCTACCAATGCTTTGACTTACATAAAGCACCTACACATATACCTGGGACAGTCACCTGGCCAGGTCAGGTCTTAGACACCGCTATATAGATATAGATATATTCGATCGCGTTTTGTTGGTGCGACAGGTGTTTGCTATCTGAAGAGTAGACAGACCAGTTTGCGGGCCCTTTCTGTCGAGATTGTAGGTACACTGAGGTGACAGTCGTGAGTCGTGACATGCAGTGCTAGTGCTGATGCTGTGATTACGTTGAGAACTTTGGAGAATTCGGTTGTGATTGTTTCGGTTTTGGACTTTGTGATGTATTGTTGCTCGGTAGACTGGCGGTCTAGATGATATAGGAGCAGGAGTTATTCGTCCTATGGGATTACCAGTTTCAGATTTCACAGCTTATTTGGAAGGTATTTAATAACATATTGAGACAGAGAAGGAAGGATTTCACATGTTTAATTCAATAATTCATTCAAAACCATATAGGTAATCCAAAATTGCATGGCAATATCACGTCAGCAACTTTGTGAATTTTCGAAATTAAAGTATTGATACGTATGAACATTGTTTGACTGGTGTTATACGCTTAAGGTCGGTCTTTTATTATGGAGTGCGCCTAATAAAAGCACAAAGTTTTATGAAATATATACTGAGTATACCTATTCCATGGAATATCTGATCAGTAATTTCAAAAATTCGAAATTTGAAATGTTCACAAATCGATAGCCAAGAAACTTTCATTTGAGCATAAAAAAATGTGAAGTCGCTTTGGTATTGCAGTTTTTTCCGGATTCATGAATCATATATATATATACATATTGAATTGAATATAAAGGGTGTTATAAAGTCAAACCCTATAGAACCCAGATAACACAATGTCATTCATAGAACGGCCATAGAGAATATTTGAATAATCTCAGAATATTCGCACAATGTGGTACAAATATTCTAGGGACGTTTTATGAACATTCGGAATGGACTGTTTCAAATATTCTGAGAATATTCCTAGTATATTGAAATAGAAGGGAGAATATTGAAAAAAAGCTTGCTCCGGTGAAGAAGCGACGTTCTATCTGGTGATTGAATTTTTACGATTCTGAAACCTTGCCATACTTTGCCACGAACCTTATCAATGAATAAAATGAATAACAAGATGACAACACTGTATTAGTGGGATATGAATATCGATGAAAGAATAGGAACAAAATTATCATATATTTTGATTCGATTCTCAAGAATATTCTGGGAATATGTCAAATAGAATAATCATAGAATATCGTTTGCAGAATGAGAATATTCTATGATCATTCTGAGAGCATTCTATAAGAATATTCTATTTATCCATTCTATTTGAACGTTGTCAGAATATTCATAGAATAGTTTGTGCTGTCTGATGGGAAGTAGGTAATGCACAGAAGACTATATATAGGAGGCTGGGGTGTAGCTGGTGATGGACCAGCATCCAAAGGAAGAAAACCTATAAGTAGGCTCTATATTGCAATCGAAATAATTTTTTTTTCTACCCAAAATTCTATTCAACGCCAGCTAGTATTGTGGGAGAACGTTGAAAACCTATGAAAATCACTGAAATGAAAAAAAAAGTATTCCAAAATCACTATACTAACCGGGATACTATAACTATACTAACCGGGATACTATAACTACTAAAGATGAATTGTTTGTCTTCCCACAGTTAGTATTATGGGAATACGTTGAAAACGTATAAAAATCTTGAATTAACTCGGCCGTTATACTTGATGAAATACTAAAGAGGAGTTGCATGTCTTTCACAATGTTTTCCAGAAAGCCTCCACTTATACTTTGCATGTTCATGATGATTCACGATAAATTGTCACTTGGTTAAATGTCGAATTTTGCAGCATTGAAGCTTCGTTTCGATTTCACCCTTCATATACCTATAGTATAATTATTAATGGCAATGCATCGACACGTGTTTCGGTCAGTATGTTAGCGTTATCTTCAGAAGAAAAATATATGGATCGTGGTATAGATAAAGTAGATACTCCATCGAGAACAAAGAGATTAGGGGTTAGACGTCTGTCTGAATTATAAGTACGGAACTTGCGGTAATTCCTTTGGGTATATGCAGTCAAAGTGAGATAAAGTGCGAACTCTTGTTTCTCTCCAAGCTTTCGGGACTTTATTGGCTCTTCATCAGGAACTCTATATATATGAAACTATCGAATCGATATGAGATGTCATCCTTATACACTGTGAAATAGGCACCAGCCACTGTATACATTCATCTAATAATACAACTACAAAATTATATAATACTATACACTGGAAGAAGAATTGACTGAATTGTCACTCAAGGTCCACGCAATAATGACTCAATTTCATTCCACGCCCGATTGAGTTGAAATTTCACCCTAATTGACCGAGTAAAATGGCAATTCATGAGCCGATTCAATCAAATTTGTTATATACATCTTCAGTGATAAGAAAACTTGAGAAAATATCTAGTTCAAGTCGAGAATTCACTCAAAATTTCACTCACAACCACATATGTATGTAATTTATCAAAAATTACCATTACAAAATAGTATGATACTTATAGTATAGTATATGAAACAATTTTGTTGTGGTATTATTTGTTAATTGTAGTGACTGGCGCCTATTTTACTAAACGTTTGGTATTCACTATACCGGGTGGCTACGGAAGTATTGCCTACGGAATATCTCAGTTATTGTATGAAGTAGGTTTATGAAATTTGGAGCGTCGATATAATGACATAAGAGCTAGAATTTGAGCATATTGACATGTCGAAGTTAACTTCCGGTCTGACCGGAAGTAACATCAACTTTCTTATTTTGAATGGAAACCCTATTTTTTTTTTCTTTCCGCTTTATTCAGCATTCAATTCCCTTTCTGATGACATATTACAAGTTGGTATCTAACCAGAAACTAGATCAGAAAAAAATTATTATTGAAATTCACCGAGTATGCCGTGGAAGCAAAATGAAAGCCAAAAATTGAAAAGTTGGCTATGGAAACTATACGTCACTTGATAACAGTTGCTACTACTGTGATATTTTATTTTCATTCGTCGGCGCATGTCGGCGTTATAAAAAGCCGTCCAAAAAAATATTGGAAAAATTGGGAAAAAACAATATAGGTACTCTGTAGGTCCATAACTTCAGTATTTCATTTCGAAAAATGACTTTCTATTATATCATTAGAAGGGAATGATTATGCTGAATAGTACAGGCAAGAAAAACTTTTATGTTCCTATTTAAGTTATGGACCTACAGAGTATTGTTTTTTCCCAATTTTTCCAATATTTTTTTTGGCGACTTTTTATGACGCCGACGAATAAAAATAAAATATCACAGAAGTAGCAACTGTAATCAAGTGACGTATGGTTTCCATAGCCAACTTTTCAATTTTTGTCTTTCATTTTGCTTCCAAGGCCTACTCGGTGAATTTAAATAATATTTTTTTTCTGATCTAGTTTCTGGTTAGATACCAACTTGTGATATGTCATTAGAAAGGGAATTGAATGCTGAATAAAGCGAAAAGAAAAAAAAATTGGGTTTCCATTCAAAATAGGAAAGTTGATGTTACTTCCGGTCAGACCGGAAGTCAACTTCGACATGTCAATATGCTCAAATTGTAGCTCTTATGTCATCATATCGACGCTCCAAATTTCACAAACCTACTTCATACAATAACTGAGATATTCCGTAGGCAATACTTCCGTAGCCACCTGGTATACCGACTATTTCTCTAAGTGTTTTATTGAGTCAATTGAGTGTTTATTAGTGATAAATAATGAAGATTCAATTTCAAATCAATTTTAATAATTTATATTATATAGAGTTCCTGATAAAGATCCAAATAAGACTCGAAAGCTTGAAAAGAATCAAGAGTACTCTTTGTTTTACTTTGACTGTCACAAGTTTCGTCCTCATATATCATCATACTCATGAAGTCGCATATTCTCTGTCTTATTATTGTTCAATATTTTATCAACCGTCAATTGATTATTGCGTTGCGATGTTATACGTGTACAAAAATTCAGGAGATGAACTTTGTCCATCGCCTATATTATGATATGATTCAATTTATATATTATGTACTTTCCATCAGTTTCCCAATCAGAATTTTCCCAAGCTTAAAAATGTTAATGAAGCGAAATATGTCTTGATCTTTGACATTATCACCCAACGGTTCAGTAATCGATGGCGAATACTTGTTTAATGTCATAAATCGAACGCTTTCTATTATGTATTTGTTTTGAGAATCCGATGGATTCCAATCAGCATCCTCGCGGGTTACTTGTCTCATCTCCTATTTGGGTCTCTCGGCATCTCGTATTGCCTCTCGTACACACATAATACCGACTGACCCCCATTCAACTACAAGATTTCGGTTAACCCACTTTCCATCCTTTACATTCATCTCGTAAGATGAGATATAGAGGTTTAACCACTTCCGCGTGAAATAAGTTTTGTTTATGTCATTCGACGAAAAGTTCATTAGAATATTTTTATTTGGTTCTGATATTGTGAGTGGATATTCGCCACAGAGAATGAAAATAGCGTTTGATGTTTGAAGTTATGCAAGAGATTTGTGAAAGTACTTTCAGCGTTCCAGCGGGAACGAGTCAGAGTGCACTTTAAAGATTTGCTAAACGGTATTTTTAACTGTTCTCATATATAGAAATGTTATGCCAATGTGGGTACATGGAGATGATTGGAATGTTTTTGTAGAATGAGCAGTAATCTGGTGCGCGAGAGCTGATTTTGGTCGAGACCGCGCACCATCAAACCATTTCGCAAACGAATTGTTTTCTACAAACGTCAAGCTTAGCTTAATATATTGAAAAAAAATCTGAGATATAATTATGAATACAAAAAAAATGGATATATATATATATATATATATTCTTGGAAATATTAGTGGGATGCAGTCTGGACCAATGAATTAATTAAATTTCTTCGTTATTTGTCGAGCTTTCGAAAATTTTTATTTTCTTTATCAAGACTAACTGAAAACATCGAATGGAACAATAATATTAAAATATAAATGTATACATCAATTGAAATTGGTATACTTACAAACATGAAATTCTATCTAAAATTAGCACAAAAAGGAAACATAGGTGTATAAATAAAATGAAATGATTTGAGAATATATATATATATATACAGAAATACATTGAGAATTCGCATTCTCCATGTGATGAAAATATTAATTCTTTCTCGGTTTATTCAACAGAAAACAACTACTTTCCTGGCTATATGACACGACGAACATTGGATTGTATCTATTGAACACACACAATAAGAATTTGAAAACAAAATCTTCTGAAGTTGGGAATTTCCATTCTCCTTCATATACAAAGATATATGCTCAATATTCAACAGAAAACAACTACTTTCC